CCAGCATTACCCTCACACAAAAACCAAACAAAGACACCACAAAAGAAAGGAAAATTACAGGCCAGTATCCCTGATGAACACAGATGTAAAAACACTCAACAAATGTTAGCAAATCAAATTCAGCAACACATTAAAAAGACCATACACCATGATCAAGTGGGATTTATTCCGGGATACAAGGTTGATTCAGTGCCCACAAATTAACATGATATATAAACAAAATGAAGGATAAAAATCCTATGACCATATTAATAGATGCAGAAAAAACATTTGACAAAATTTAACATCCATTCATGATAAAAACTCAGCAAAGTGAGTACAGAGGAAATATACCTCAACATAATAAAGGCCACCTATGACAAACTACAGCTGACATCATACTCAACAGTGAAAAAATAAAAGCTTTTTCTGTAGGGCCAGGAACAAGACAAGGGTGTCCACTCTCACCACTTTTATTTGACACAGTATTGCAAGTCTTAGCCACACAATCAGACCAGAAAAAGAAATAGGTGGCATTCAAATTGGAAGGGAGGTATAACACTCATTATTTACAGAGTGCATGATACCATATGTAAAGAACCCTGAAGAATCCACCAAAAAAACTATTAGCACTAATAAGTCCATTCAGAGAAACTGCAGGATACAAAATTAATACTCAGAAGTTGGTTATACCTTTATACATCAATAACAAGCTATCAGAAAGAAATTAAGGAAACAATCCCATTTATAATTGTATCAAAAAATATCTAGGAATAAATTTAACCAAGGGATTAAAAGACCTGTACTTAGAAAACTGTAAGGCGTTGCTCAAAGAAACTGAAGAAGAAACAAATGAATGGAAGCGTATATCATGCTTGTGAATAGGAATAACTGACATCATTAAAATGATCTTATTGTCCAAAGCCTCTCTCATTCTGATAAAACTGTGGTGAAGTGTTTGAAAAAAACCTCAGAACCACTAGGGAAAAAGAGTATTTCATACGAAGCAGGTTTTCAGGAAAACACATCTTCAACATTTAAATTCATAGTACATGTACTCATTTTAGTATGTGGTAAATGCTAGTGGTTTCTGAGATAAGTACTGTTTTGTGAAGTTCTCTGGAAGAATCTTTGTGAAATACCATTTCAGTGGTAAGTGTGATAGCAAAAGAGCTATGAAAATCACTGTTCCATGGGAAAAACAGTGAGTGGACTCATACAACTGTGTCAGTTTTGAAGTACAATAAGCTTCTGGCCCAGTTTTCTGCAATGTAGTCTTCCAAGCACCAAAGCATACCACACCGAGGGTAGTCATGGACACTCTGGTACATGAGTTTTGCCACACTGGTTTGTGAAGATCAAAGTGAATATGAACATAATAGTCCACTGTTGTCCTCCAAGTGCTTTGCATTCTGGAAAAATTGCAGTGAAGTGTTTGAACGCTTCAAAACCTCTGGGAATGGGAATATTTTGTACAAAGTGCATTTTCAGGAAAACATGCAGTGAAATGTTTACTCATTTCAGTATTTGATGAATGGTAAGGTTTCTGAAATTATAAATGCTGTTTTGTGATGAAAAAATAAAATAAAAATTAGAAAAAAATGTTCATGTTACCCAAAGCAATGTACAGATTTTATGAAATCCTTATCAAAATACCAATGGCATTTTTCACAGAACTAGAAGAAAAAATCCTGGAATTTACATGGGACCAAAATAGACCCCAAATAACCAAAGCAATATTGAGAAGAAAAAAGTTGAAGGTATCACACTACCTGATATCAAACTGTACTATAAAGTATAGTGATCAAACAGCATGGTGGTAGCATAAAAACAGACACATAGATCAATGGAATAGAATAGAGAGCCCATAAATAAGTTTATGCTATTTGGTCAATTACAACAGAGCAGGCAAGAATTTACCTTGGATTAAAGACAGTCTTTTCAGTTAATGATGGAAAACTGCACAGATGTACAAAATGAAACTAGACCCCTTTCTTATACCATGTGGAAAAATAAAGTAGATTAAAGACTTAAATGTAAGACCTGAAACCATAAAACTCCTAGAAGGAAACAGGCAATAAACTCTTTGACACTGATCTTAGCAATATTTTTTTAGAAATGTCTCTTAGGGCAGACAACAACAAAACTAAACAGGTGGGACTACATCAAACGATAAGCTTCCCTATTACAAAATATCTGCATCATATTTGCAGATATTTGATGCATCCGATGATATGGGGTTAATACCCACAATATATAAAGAACTCATACAGCTTAACATCAAAAAATAAATAATCTCATTTAGGGAAGGGTCAAGTCAAGGAACATGTATAAAAGACCCCTGGACAAAGACAGCTGGGGAGAGGATCGAATGTGGGAGGTGGTGGTGGGTAGGGCAAGGGAAAGCAATGGGGTGGGGGGGGGGGGATTGGACAACTGTAATTGAACAACAATTAAAAATAAATAAATGACCTCATTAAAAAATGGGCAGAAGACATGTAAACGTTCTCCAAAGAGAACATAAAGATGGCAAACATGAAATAATGCTCAACATCATTAATCATAAGAGAAATGCAAATGAAAATCACAATGAGATACCACCTCACACATGTCAGAATAGGTATTAACAAATCAACAAACAAGTGCTGGCGAGGATGTGGAGAAAATAGAACGAATGCTGGCAGGAAAGCAGACTGGTGCAGCCACTGTGGAAAACAGCATGGAGGTTCCTCAAAAAATTAAAATTAGACCTAATGACCCAGCAATTACAGTTCCTGGTATTTATTCAAAGGAACTGAAAACAATAATTCAAAAAGATATATGCACCCTTTTGTTCATTGCAGCATTATTTAAAATAGCCAAGATGGAAGCAACCTAGCATCCATCAATAGACAAAGGAATAAACAAGATTTTTTTACACATATACAATGGAATATTACTCAGCCATAAAATGTTGCCATTTGCAACAAGATGGATGGACCTAGAAGGCATTATGCTAAGTGATGTAAGTCATAGAAAGACAAATACTGTAGAATTTCAGTTACATGTGGAATCCAAAAAACAAAACAGAAGCGAACCCATAAATACATAGAACAAACTGTCAGATAACAGGAAGATTGGGGTGATGGGTAAAAATACTGAAAGGGATTAAAAGTAAGAATTGCTACTTAGAAAAATAGTCATGAGAACATGATGTACATAGAACACAGAGAATATACAGTAATAATGTGATAACTATCTGTCGTCAGATGGGCACTAGACCTGTTGTGGTGGTCAGTGCACAAATGCCTGATCACCGTGCTGTGCACCTGAGACTCATGTAACACTGTATGGCAACTGGAATTGAAAAATAAAAATTTTTAAATGCAATACATAATTGGACCTATTTTGATCAGTTCGTCTAGCACAAAACAGCGGTTAGACTTAATGGGTGAAGTCTGAATAAATAATGTGCTGAACTGGGAGTCCTGGATTTTTCTCTAGTTTCCAGGTAAAAATCAATGACAAATGCCAAGCTTCGTTAGGCCTTTAAAAATACTGCTTCCCACTTTATGAATTTAAGATGATGTATATTACATATGCCAGGTCTTTCTTCACATAATAGGTAAAAACTTTAAATTTCCTTTTCAAGTAGAAACTTTAATCAATCTAACATAATCTAATGATCAGCCAAATAATTACACAATTAAATGAGATGAGGAAAAGAGGTCTAGACATTCACCAAGGTCATGGACTGCTAAGTATGTCTAGATGACCTAATAGTGACTGAATGACTCTTCTGATTTTGTAATTCAGATGTTCAAGATGTATTCCTATTACCAGTATATAAAACTGTCATCACGAATACTCTATTCAGGTTAGAATTTGTCTTAAGATACTTAGAAATTCAGTTGGTTAAAGAAAGAAAAAATATATAACCAAAGCTAATTGCTTAACCTATTTTTTGAAATGAAATGTGCAATTGAAATTTGAATAAAATTCAAGTATAACAGCAACATTGGATAGGGAGACAAGTTGTAATGATAACCCAGACAAAGGTTTAAAATAGTTTAAGAAAACCTATTCCCACCCAGAGAATTATTGACCCCATTCAGGAAAAACTTAGTATAGGGCAGGGGCAAGGAGAAGGATACCAAATTAGAAGCTATGAGGAATGTCAAAGACACACAAGACAACATTCTTCCCCTCAAAGAGTTTACCACCTATTTGAGAACAAAAGATACACGTGTGAAATGACCGTAGGACTCTGTGCAGAGTGGAGGTGAGGTGGGGAGGAGGAACGAGGCAAGGAACAGACAATCAGTGCCTTCAGCCATAAAGAAAAAGGAAAGAAACCTTGCCATCTGAAATAGCATGATTAACTAAGAGTATTATGTGAAGTGACATAAGTCAGACAAGACAAATACTGTACAATTTCACTTAAACGTGGAATCTAAAAAACAAAACAAACTCAGAAACAGAACTCATGGTTACCAGAGAAGTGGGGGCTGGTGAAATGGGGAAGGGGACTAAGAAATGCAAGCTTGCAGTTATAAAATAAGTCACAGGTTGTAATGTGCAGCGTAAGGGAACAGAGTCAGTAATAACAGTAAGACTATGTATGGTGACAGTACCGTGCCAGTCACTCTGTGAGGTATACAGATGTTGAATCACTGTGTTATCTACCTGAAACTAATATTGTATGTCAACTATAATTTAAAATATTTTTTTTCAAATTGGGGGGAAATAATTGCTGAATCGGTCAGTGTTAACCCCCTTCTTGCTGAGTAAACAGACTAAGAGACTCATGTCCTCATTGCTCATCCAATACTTTGTCTACTGTGCAGAGCTCCTTCCCCCTCCAATTTTGCTTCTTCATGCTTTGCTTCTTTGCATCTAGGGAAGTGTGCCAGGAAAGACACATTGAGTCAGCTACGTGGTACCCAAAATAGTAATTTAACCACCAAAATATTTAGTGAAACATTATAACTAGACAACTGAGTGTTGTCAGTAAGCAACAGAGCAAGTCACTCTTTTCTTACCTTCAGCAAGAACACACAAAGGGTAAATCGGCATCCACAGTGTCTGACTGAGCCAGGTCAGGGCGGCGTAGGATATGCCTAGGATGGATAACATGCTGTACGTGTACCTAAAAGTGGACGAGGAACTGGTAAGCATCATTTGCTGCTCATGTCTGGAGAGTAGGAGAATGAAATACTTTACTGTGTAATTACACAAATAAAGCTGGAATGTGTGTGGATTCCATACTTTATTTCCTATAATTCAAGCAGAAGAGGTTTAAAAAATGGGGAGAGGGAACCTTGTCAGTCTGGCTTGTTTCACCAGGTATATCACAGACAATCAAGTTTCCTTGATTAGTGACTTCAATTTCACTCAGAAGCCAAGCCCATTTTATGCAACAGCTAGGTTTTGTTTTTTGTTTTTTTTAATGACAAACAAATCTTGTAACTATCTAGGGAGTGAATTTTAAAAATAGCAACATGACTTCCAAATCCCTATTGGCATCCCTCTGCTTACATAGCTGAGCCATCTTATGTGTCAATTAAAGAACTGTGCCAAGGACCTTGTTTGGGTTCCAGTAGATAGTTTAAAACCTGCTTTCGTGACACAATAGATGAAATAGGCTACATCTTTTTACTTCTCTGTGCCCTGAACAGCCCAGTTGTTCCCCAGTTTAGGCAAACATCAGAATCACCCAGAGGGCTTTCAACAACACAGATCACTAGGGCTGCAGAACCAAAGGGTCGCTGCTTTGATTCCCAGTCAGGGTACTTGCCTGGGTTGCAGGCTAGGTCCCCAGTAGGGGCGTGCAAGGGGCAACCACACATTGATGTTTCTCTCCCTCTCTTTCTCCCACCCTTTCCCTCTCTCCAAAAATAAGTAAAATCTTTTTTTAAAAATCAATTGACAATGGATATGTGTTCTCTCTGTACTATCAACTCTATTCCACAATATATCCTTATGCCAGGATCACGCTGTTGCTTATTGTTGCTTTGTGGTAAGTTTTAAAATTGGAAAGTGTGAATCTTCCAGCTATGTTCTTTTTCAAGATTGTTTTGGCTATGCTGGGTTCCCTGAGTTTCCATGTGAGTTTTAGGAGCAGCTTTTCAATTTCTGAAAAGGAGCCAGCTGGGATTCTGATGGGGATCGCACTGAATCTTTAGATCTACTAGGGGAGTCTTAATGATAGTAAGTTTGCAACCAATAAACATGGGATATCTTTTCATTTATTTAAATCTTTAGTCTTAACACTGTTTTATAGTTTTTGGTGTGTAAATTCTGTATATCTTTTGTTAAACTTACTCCTACTTCTTTTGATTCTATTGTAAAAGAAATTATTTTTTAAATTTTACTATAGGTCATTGCAAATGTATAGACTATAATTGATTTTTTAAAGATTTTTCTTATTTATTTATCTTTACAGGGGAAGGGAAGGAGAGAGGGATAGAAATATCAATGTATGGTTGCCTCTCGTGCGTCCCCTGCTGGGAACTGGCCTGCAACCCAGGCATGTGCCCTGACTGGAAATCAAACCGTGGTTGCTTGGTTCCCAGGCCTGTGCTCAATCCACTGTGCTACGCCAGCCAGGGCTTTATAATTGATTTTTTATATTGATTTGGTATTCTACAAACTTGCTGAACTAGTTTATTAGTTTCAGTATTCTTAGTGGATTCCTTATGATTTTTTATATATAAGAAAGATCATGTAATCTACCAATAAAGACAGTTTCACTCTTTCCTTTCCAATAGGGATCCCTCTTACATCATTTTCTTTCCTCATTGCCATGGCTAGAGCAATGGTGAATAGCAGTGGCTAGTGCAGACTTGCTTGTCTTGTTCCAGATCTTGGGAGGAAAGCATCAGTCTTTCATCATTAACCACCAAGTTAGCTGTAAAATTTTTGTAGAGGTTTTTGTCAGGTTGAGGAAGTTCCCTGATCTTTGCTTTTAAAAAGTCATCTTAGGGTAAGTTTGGAATGTAACTGTATTTCTATGTTATAGAAGAAAAAATGAGTTTCAAAAAGGTTTAGATACTCTGGAATTTTACACCTTTGTTAAGAGAAATGAAAAATATGCACACACAAAAGCTTGCGCATGGATATTCATAGCAGCATTCCTCACAACCAAAAAGTAAGAACAACTCGCCCTGGCTGGTATAGCTCAGTGGGTTGAACGTGGGCCTGAAAACTGAGGGCTCGTGGTTCGATTCCCAGTCAGGGCACATGCCTGGGTTGCAGGCCAGTTCCCAGCGGGGGACTCACTAGAGGCAACCATACATTGATATTTCTCTCCCTCTCTCCTTCCCTTCCCCTCTAAAGATAAATAAATAAAATTTTTTAAAATTTTTTTAAATTAAAAAAAGTAGGAACAACTCAAATGGAAAAGTGTGGTATATCAATATAAGGGAATAGTATTCAGCCACATAAAAAGAATGAAGTATTGACAGATGTTACAACATGGAGGAACCTTGAAAACATTATGCTAAGTGAAAGAAGCTAGTCACAGAAGGCCCCATATTATATGACTCCATCCACATGCAATGACCAGAACAGGCGGGTCCATGGAGACAGTACCGTCGTGGTTGCAAGGAGCTGGGAGAAGGAGGGAATGCGGAGTGACTACTAACCAGTTTGGGGTTTTTTTATGGGCAATAAAAATGTTCTCAAATTAGATAGTGGAAATGGTTGCACACATCTTTGAATACACTAAAAACCAAATTGTATACTTTAAATGGGTGGATTTTAATGTATGTAAATTATCTCAATGCTGTTATTTTAAAAAAAAGAGGTTCAGTGACTTGCTTAAGATCTTATAGCCAGTAATAGTGGAGGTGGGGTTCATCCTGCGATCTCCTTGTGTGTCCAAAAGTCTTTCCATGACGTCATAATACCACTCTCAGTGCACAAGTGACCTTGTTCTGTAACGGGTCTGCCCAGTTCACACGAGCCTGAGCTGACTCGGAAAGAGCCGTGCACGGCAGAGAATAACACATCAGAGAGCCGCCGTCTCAGGGGAGACTCTGTGTCTCATGAACAGGAAGTCATGGCCCACAAAAGCCTGTGAAAATTTGTACAAGTCTGCAAAATTATCAGTTAAAAATAACTTCCTAACATCCTAAGTTCTATATATAAAGAACTATAGTCATTTTCTTTTTCCTTTTTTTTTTTGTTTATAGTCATTTGAAGTCAACAAAATATTCTAATTCACTCTAGGGCTCAACCCATTATTTAGAAATATTTCAACTCAGCTAAGTTATTGACAGTGTAATAACAAATTTATATAACCTCAGCTAATTTGTTACCTGTCCGCATCCAGATCTTTTCAAGCAAGAGGGGCAGTTCTCATTTGTAAAAGCTGAATTAGCAGTTAGGACAACTCTTCAGGGTGAGCCACAGAGCAAAGCACCACTGGTGGACATAAGACTTGGCTCTCCTTGCAAAGTTCAGGGAAACTGGAGAGGATCTAGAGCAAGCAAGGGTTCTGACCAGCACTCCTAGGAAGTCCATGAAAGAACTTCATTTCAGGCTTTTGAACTCACTGAAATTGCATACAAAAATGTATGTGGAGGTACATTTTTTTTTCTGAGAGAGATGAGGGCCCTATATTTAAAATAATCATGAATTTACAGAAAACAACTTTGTAAGTTCTGACTATGATACAATAAAAAAGTCTTGCTTCGCTTATTAGAGTAACATGTTCCAGAGCAATTGCAAGGAATGTCTTTCATTAGCAAGCAGCTGTGAGGTTTATTCCAAACTGGTGTTATGCCAAGTCTCCTGCTAGATACCTGCACTGATTGGCTGTTGTAATCCCACAGTTGATCTTCATTATCATTGATATGCCCATTATGGAAAGCACTTAAAGTACATTTTCATATAAAGATAAAATCATTTGAAAAGGGTTTATTTTTTTCTCTTATTCCAAGTAACCAAACATACACAGCTATTACTGGTTTCACGGCAGAAAGCAATTTAGCTTTAAGAGGTCATTTTGCTTCCTTACCTAACCATATCCAATAGATTCCAAAAGATGAATAAAACACACACCACATATTTCTCTTGGACTTCCTCTTGACTGGTGATCACCACAAAAAGGATGATTATTCTTTCTGTGAGCTAACAACAACAAAAACAGCAAAGTCAACAATTAGAATCATCTGTTAGGCATGTAGGTAATTTTCTAATTAAAAAAAAAAAAACCAGAGTTCCTCTTACATGTATGCTTTAACTAGAAATGTATATCCTAAACTTAAAATGATCTCTGAGGGAGTAGGGTTATGGGTGAATTTCATTTCCTCCTGTTCTTTGTATTCTCCAACATATAGAATGACTGAAAAGATAACATTTTATCTGAATCAAGATAGTTCCCTTCTTGTAATACATACACACATGTTTTCATTCACTTTGGCAAGCTTGCGCTGCATGACTGTTAGGTATTAGATGCTAAGATTATGACAGCGTGGTCCTTGCGCCAGAGGGCGGCAGCAAGAACGTGTGAGGCAGTAACTGTGACACTGTGGATAATGCTGCCACTCAGAGTGCTACGTCCGGTGCAGGAGATACCTGGCTGGGGAAAGAAGGCAGAGACTTATGAAGACAGGCAACATTTCAGTTAGAACAGGCAGAAGTTTGTGAGGTAGACTGGATAAGAAAAGGGCCATCCTAGGCCAAGGGCGCAGCCTCAGCAAAGAGGCAGAGATGTGTGTGCTGGGGAGTCATGAGGACCCCTGGGGGCTTGAGCAGGGTGCACAGAAGGGAATAACAGGAGGTAAAACTGAAAATGCACTGGGGGCTGCATCATAAAGGGTATTGAGTGACAGGCCAATACACTTCTATTTCATCCAACAAGGAAACCATTGTAGCTTTATTATATTTTTTAGTGGGGAGGGCAGGGGGAAAGGGAGACTATAATCCTAACCCTCATAAACTAGTAGCAAATGAAAAAAAATACAATATATTCATTTTTTTCAGTCAGTAAGCATTTACAAATTATTGAGAATTCACACAAGTATGGCTTAGCTCTAAGTACTGACCTCAAGACATACATTCCTCTTTCCCAATCTAAATATAATGTGCCTTCTTATGTTGTATTGATATCCCCTGTACAGTCTGCATTTTTATGTTTTTAATAAAACATTTCACTTTTCTTTCAGTGGAGATTGAGGGAGCATATTAGTAATAAATGAAAGGGGGAGATTGTTTTATATTTTTCAATAGCCGTCTTTGTTTCTAAAGCAGATCAAGGAGAAAAGAAGGGGATAATCTATGACTTCGAATCATAGGCAGTTAGTCCTGGAAAATCACTTAGTGCAGAGAAATCCAAGATTTGCCAACAATGGGCCACGTGATGAGAAACCCACATGTATAAGCTCTATCAGCATGTTTACGCCCACAGCAGTGAGTCAAGAGGGTGCTGCTTAGCTATGGGAATTCCACATGATTCAAACCTTAGTCAAACTATGGATGCTCTCTATGGTTTCTCTTCTGTCCATCTTTTGTCTCTCTATTTAACTTAACTGTAGTTCTGTAATGAATTACCATTACCTGCAATGGTAGTTCCTGAATGACCCAAGATGGCTACCACAACACCCAGCTGCCTTCAGATAGAAGATCTTAGCAGCAAACAACAATTTAGGAACTACCTAATCTTTCATTTAATCACTGACTGCTAATTAGGAAATTCATCCACTTGGATAAAAGTTCAAAAGACACACACACATAACTACACACACAAATCCCCTATTTCTAATGACAGGGTTGACTACTGAAAGAAAAAACCCAGGTACCTCTTGATAAGATGGATCTGCAGTGTCCCCCCCATCCTGCCAGCTACTAACCCAACCCCACTTTTTTACAAATAAGGAATTTGGGAACCAGATGAGTTAAGTGACTTGCCCAAACTAGTGGCAGCCCTGAAAGTGTATACATCTCACGTTCCCTGGTTCCCAGAGTTGTGAGCTTTCCATGATGTCAGGCTGCCCCTAAATGACGAGTACAGAGAAGAAAATATCTTCAAAAGAGAGACTGGAGCTGCACAATGAAACTCACGCTGTTGAAAATCATCACTTGAGTGTCTGTGGCATGTTAGTGATAGAATCCCTATTGCATAGAAATCAGCAATCAACGTGCCCTCCCCCCCAAAAAAAACTACACAACCATGTACATACATGTAGGTATGTGAAGACTCACACACACACACACACACACAATGTCAGTCTAATTATCAAGTTATCTGGTGGTTATTTCTCCCTAATTGGACCATTCAATGGCAATACAATGGTAGAATTTAGGTGAAGATATTCTAAATTAACAAAAGTCAGTATTTATTGGTCACTTTATGCCAGATTCCAATTATACATCACCTTATTTAATCTCCCTAACAACCCTAAGAAGTAAGTGCTATTATTATTATCTGCTTCTGCAGTTCATAAAGTAAAAGTGACCTGCCAAAAGATCTGGAACCAAAATCTAGACAATGTAAATACTGCTGGTGAGGATGTAAAGAAAACATTATAACAAGTAAAATAAGCCAAACTTAAAAGACTTCCATGTAAATTATTTCTCTTATATGGCATTCCAGAAAAGGCAAAAATGGAAAGACAAATCATATCAGTGGTTTCCAGGGTTGGGTGAGGAGAGTGAATGACCTCGCAGGGCCTTGACGGAAATTTTGGGACGCTGTGCGTGTTCTGGATCCTGATTGTAAAGGCAACTGCCTGTGTAAGTTTGTGAAAATTCATCACTTGTACACCAAAAAAAAGCTGATTTTTACTATATGTAAATTATAGCTCAATAAACCAAAAAAGTCATTACAATAAGTCCAAAATTAATTACAAAAAAAAATCTAGACAATGTGATTCTAAATCCGTTGTTCCAAAACACGAAGACATGCTCATCTTTGTTCTTTGATGGCTGTCCCTGTGTCTTTCATCCAAGTTATATCCAATTCTCCCACAAAGTTTCTCTTCAAAAGTTAAACCTTAAAACAAGAACCTCCTTAAGTTTCTAAATTAATACCCAAACCTACTAAAGTCCATTTTAAATAGACTGTAAATTTTTTTCTTTTGTTTACACATAATAATTTCACCAGTTATTTGGAGCTGTACATTTGGGAGAACTTAGCACTTTGTCATTTTAAACAAACCCTATGAGAACATGACTAACTGCTAGTGAATGCCCTGTGATGTTTAGTGCAACTCAAACAGGTGGAATAAAAGTACAGTAAAAAATTCTATAACTTAGCCCAAATTAAACATGGTGGTAATGCGGTCTGCTCAAAAGTATGGTAACTATAAAATAAAAATACTTTGCATTTTAACATTCTATTTGGGAATCTTAAACTCCAGGTTAAGCAATGACTTAAAACCAAGTTGTTACATTAGACATGGCAGCTAGCACTTTAGTTATAAATTGTTCAAGGGGGCAAAAATGATACTTCAAATGTACAGAGAATTTCTATAATCTTAGAAAATAAATTAGTTTTAGCCCCAAATACTATTTTACTATTTCAAGCCTGTGTGAGCTTTTGTTGAGAACTTCAGAAACACACCCTTATATATGATCAAAAACCACCAATTGCTTTCTTCTATAAAACAAAAGCATTTAATTAATGGTAGTTTTAAATTTTTGGTTTATTTATTCATCATTCAACAGATACTTATTAAGTGCACTGTTCTGGGCCCTGCGGAGTAAAACTATGAACAAGAGCAAGTCCCAGCCTCATGGTATTTACATCCTATGTGGGGAGAGAGTTGAGAGATCAGAACAAAGAGCCCAAATCCAGATTCTTCCTGCACCAATCACAATTTATGTGACCTTAGGTAATTTATTTAATTTTTGTGCTCAGGGATTATATTGAAGATAATAATTAGTATTATATAGTTAGGACAAGGTTATGAAGATTAAATGAGATAATGCATGTGAAGAACTTAGAAAAATATTCAGTGGCACAGAGAAAGCCCTAAATAAATGTATGCGATTATTATTTTTAAAAATAGTTTTATTTAGCAATTAGTATTTTGTAGGAAAATATACTTTTCTCTATAGATAATCAAGACTACCACTGAATAAAAAGTTAATCTCAGTATCTTTAAAATTATACTGTGAATATAGCTTTATAATTACTACACTGAAGAACTCCATGAATCAAATGCAAATTACAGAGGAAAATCTAAAATCTTACCCACAGGGTGAATTGTGTGTATAGTTCATTCCCAGGAGGCTTTGAAGTTTTGAAAATCTCATGGCCTGACACTATTTTTAGTTTTATGGCTAACAGTATAAATCTGTCCCCAACAAAAACTGGAGAGAAAAATCTATATGATTTTATGGAAAAATCAGAAGATTATTTAATGCAAAGAAGTACCTGCTTCACAGCTAAAAGGAAACTAAGGTGAAACTTGGCTGTTTTACTAAAAGTTTATTTTAAAATATTCTCCTTTGGAATTTCCTTCATGTTTGTGCTCATAAGAATCTGTAACTGTGAGACCTTTGGAGTAGTTTTGCTTGTCCTCTCAGAGATAGAAAGTGAGATTCATAAATATAAAGATCATCTCGTAATTTGGGCTCACAAACAGAATGATAATGTTGGGGTAATAATATACTTCTATTGTTTTGGTCTATAGACTTTAAAAAGTGTGTAAAACATATCTGTGCAGCCATGTTTACTGTGAAGCAAAGGAAAGAATGCAGAATTTAACCACTGTAATTCAGTTCTGTATTGTATGAAGTCTTTGTATTTTGAGCATTTCTCAACAGGTGAAGGAGTAAACTGAATTACTCGGAGGGTTCCCTAAGGTCACACCAATCTAATGACACGAAAGTTTGCTTTGTGGCTATTTCCCCCACTCCTTGAGTCAAAGCATCCTCGAGCTACCTCAATACAAACCTCTTCCTCAGACTTCCACTCAAGGTTAGAACAAAGCCCTACAAAGATGTCAAAGTCAGTATTTCAGAGTTGGTAATATTTTTGCTCTGTAAAAGCCAGGTTGTTTTCTGATATCAAACCTACTGAAGTAAATTAATTTACCAATTCAAGCATTTTTTTTAAACTAAGCTAATAAAATGCTCAAGCTTGTTTGGGAAGAAGAGATTGGAATGGTGAGATACTTAGTTTTCATTTGTATCATCACTTCTAATAATAGATACCTGCATGTTTGGATCTTTTTTACTTTCCCATTTTATAAATTTGCAATAGCAAAAGTTAACTATATTTCCTTATATAATTTTAATTGGCATGAAATAATTTCCAAAAAAATGGATGTCTATAAATACCTATTTATGTGACCGTTTGCCCTTTCTCCTATGTGTGTTTCTTAAATGCATAAAAATATATATCTATGTGTTAAATTATTATAGTCTTATTATAAATCTTTTTCCTCCTTTTTTCTCTAGCAGTGCTGTGTAATTCTAAAAACTCATAATGGTTTTTCTCTGTCAAAATAAACATACGTGTATGAAACATTTAAAAATGCACAGAACAAAACACAGAGAACAAACATCCCCTAAACACACACCACCACCATTTGATATATACAATTCTAACTGTTCAAGTAATTTATCATTCCTACCGATTTTTGGAATGATTTACCTTGATATTTTGGAAGACCAGTTCCCAAAAAGAGAATTCAGCTGAGACTTAGCAACCTCGCAAAAGTAATGGCAAAATATCATCACAAATGTGCAGACATGTTCAGCCTGTCTGAAGCCACGGCACTGTGCATTTTTTTGAAGACACCATATGCAATCAGCTATGATTACTGTGTCAATAGTAGTCAGTAGCCACATTCTTAACTACGGTTTCTTCACTTAAAAATGGGGAAACAGGAAAACCAGGAAAGATTTCACAACCTTAGAGTTTTGTTTGGTTATTTTAAAGCAGTGGCCCTGGAGTCGTCTCATAACATCTCATAACAAAGGAATTCTAACTTCTGCAGAATGCTAATAAAGGAAAGGGGAGAAAATGAAACTTTGGACTGCATGACCTTTGTTTCTGAAGCTTTCTCCAATACCATGTCCTTTCTGAACACCATAGGAAAAACAGTACATGAATAAAAGAAATAGAGAACAGATGGAATCTTAAGAGGACCCAAATGATCACAAGAAAAGTGAATAATCAGCCCAGGATGAAAACGGTACAATGTGGTGATCCCTGACTTGTTATTTCTCCCAACAAAAAGACTTCAGAATCATCTGAGCCCCATCTCTACAACCTCACCTTTGAATAAAAAGTTTCAATGTATATTTGTCTTTTATTTTCTAATTACTAAACAAAAATATAGTTTGATTACAGTGATCATATTTCTTTCTACAAGCCATCAAAGTTTCGATTAATAGTGGTTAAAATCACACTTAGATATTCTGGAGTTTCTAGAACTCCAAAAAGTAGGATTTCTAATATAATAATTTATATAATTGGGCAAGCCTATATAAGTTTGGAAAGCATAAAAATGTGCCTATTTTTCTAGGCATATTCAAGGTGCTCTATTTTCTTTCTTACAAATTTAACTGTCCTGGTTCTGACTTGCATCATGTATATTAACAATAACTGAGATGACACCACTCTTAAATTTGAAAATGCTAATATTAATATTAGCTAATTTAGCTTACAAAAGTAAAAAGTCCAAAAAGGTATACCATAAGAACACATGACTTAGATTTTAGGCAAATTTGACCATGTTCCAAGAAAAATAATTTCATACAACAGAGTATACCTTTCATTTAACCTGAGTTAATTCTGTTCTCTGAAATTAGCATCATGGGGTGCTGGTATTATATGCATTCTGGCTGTTAACAAATAATAAACATCAATAAATCTTGTTCCCAAATAATATGCTTCTTCTGGGAAAGATATGTACAATTTTTTATTTTTATAAGGGAATGTGTTTAAGGGAATTCCATCTAGATCCTGGCTAACTGACTGTTAGCCAACCATTACTCTGTTATTAGTAGTTCATACTTTAAATAGCGCCCTGATTTTTATTATACATTTGATATTTCAACACTTAACATGTCCTCATCTTCATGAATACCATTTCTCTACTTTTATGTAATAAGTAAAACTTAAAATCTCCCATAAATTTATACTGTTGATTTATTAGGTTCCTTAGTATTATACTACTATTTCCAGCTTTTAAATTTTCATGGCATTTTAAGCGAATTTATACACAGATCTATGTAACTCCTTCATTTTACAACAACTCAAAGTGTGTGTTCATATTCTCCGCACTCTGCTAGGTGGTAACAATATAATCAGGTTCTGACATTTTATTTTTACAATCCAAATTTCTCAAATTTAGTTGTTTATCCATTTTTCCAACTTATTTTGTGAATAGTTAAAAGGCAATACTCATATAAATGCCTTTTTTCTGAAGATTTTAAACACATGTTCATATAGTCACCTAACCCTTAACACTTAAGTGCTGGCAACTTATGTCACCCATTTCCCCAGTTACTCCATGAGATATATGTTACTTTCACATCACATAGGGAAATAATGTGTGGACCACCCGTGTGACTTGTTTAAATGCATACAGCTACCAAGAGGTAGAACAGGGATAGAAACCCAAGTCCACTTGATCCCCAAGTCTATGGTTAAATACTACACTAGATAACCATGAATAATAACCACTCTTTCCCAATTGTCCTCAGTAAACGTGGCAGAGTGAACAGAGATGGCTAGGAAATATTCTGTTCTCTGAACAGGGATGAAAGGAACTTTTATTTTTAATTTAAAATTTTTTTTTAATTTTTAGTTATTTTTCAAGTACAATTTTTTATCTATTTCTCCCATCCCAGCCCCCGCCCCACCCCGTGCTCCCCACCTCCCTCCCATTTCCACCCCCCTTAGTTCTTGTCCCTGTGTCCTTCCTATTTGTTTCTCCAAATCCCTTCCCTTTTTTCCCCTTAAATTCCCTTCCCTCTCCCCTCTGGTCACTGTCCCCCTGTTCTCTATTTCAGTGTCTTTGTTTTTACTCTGCTTGCTTGTTTGTTTGGTTGTTTAGCTTCCTGTTAAAGGTGAGATCATATGGTGTTTGTCTTTCAACACCTGGCCTATTGTTGACACCATTACACATGTCCCCTACTCACTTCCCCCTTTTCATCCCTCCACAAAGCCCCCTTCCCCTGCCTTCACCACATTGTTGCGTGTCCATGAGCTATGCATAAATACATATATTGTGTTCTTTGGCTAATTTCTTCTAATACCTCCTACTCGCTTCCTTTCTGAAAGAAAATTTGTAAGCCCTGGCTGGTGTAGCTCAGTGGATTGAGTGCGGGCCTGCGAACCAGAGAATCGCAGTTCAATTCCCAGTCCGGGCACATGCCTGGGTTGCAGGCCGGTTCCCTGCAGGCCAGTTCCCAGCAGGGGACGCACGAGAGGCAACCATACACTGGTGTTTCTCTCCCTCTGTCCTTCCCTTCCCCTCTAAAGAGAAATAAATTAAATCTTTAAATTTTTTTGTAAAAAATTAAATTTGTAGGTGGTAATATTGGTTAATGACATAATTTTTAAGTGTACAAGATTATTATTCAACATCTGAGTCTAATATCCAAAATACACAAAAAACTCACATAATTCAACAGCAACAAAAAAATCCAATCTGATTAAAAAATGGAAAAAGGACCTGACTAGACACTTTCCAGGGAGACATACAGGCATAGGAAAAGATGGCATGGCCAACGGACATATGAAAAAATGCTCAATATCACCAGCTATAAGGCAAATGCAAACCAAAAGCACAGTAAGATAACACCTCACACTCACTACAATGGCTGTTACCAAAAAGACGAGAACTAAAACATCTCAACAAGAATGTGGAAAAAAGAGAACCTCATACACAGCTGATAGGACCATAAACTGGTGTAGCCTCTATGGAAAACAGTGAAGAGGTTTCTCAAAAAATTAATAGATTTTTTAAAAAATCATCTACTCTTTACCAGGTATTGTGTGTGGTGACCTTTCCCAGAAACAGCCCAATGATTGTGGGTGATTGGATCCCACAGTGTAGGGAGAGGAGCCAGGCACCCTGCCCAAGCCCGAATGGCTTCTCCTCAGCCCTCCCCTCCCCTCCCCTGCGCAGGGCACCGGGAAGCCCCTGTGAAATCTTCCAGGCGAGGAGCACTGCAGTCCTGCACAGAGCAGCAAGCTTCATTGCCCTGAACGTTTCCCAGTGGCTCTTCTAACGGGCAGTGTTTGAGGATGGGTACTTTTTACGTGGAATTCTCTGTGTTGGTGACTTGGGTCTTCAGTGGGCAAGGACTAGCTTTTTAATGGCTATAAGGTCAAGAAAGACTATAAATAAAAAGTTCAGTGTGAAACAGATTAAAAAATAATAACATGATAAAAACCTACCTGCAGGAACCTAGGAAGAAGATGGCTTGGTTCGATGCCAGCATATATGTGCAGCAACTCCAAGAGGGAGATGGACTGGCAAAGTCTCATCACAAGTCCAATAGCATAAAAAGTGTCAACCATTGAATCTGCGTCCAGTGAATTAAAAATACAGATATAGTAAGTAAAAACTAGAGCACAGCCCACATCTCCATAGCACTTTTAAATAAAATTGAGATTTACCCCTGTTTTCATTGTACACGTGAGAAATTTCCTAGATCATCACATCATGAGGAGTATGCAACTGAAGAAATCAGTTCATATTACAGTGTATTTTAATTGTTCCTCTTCCAAAAAGAAGTAAAAACTTGAAAAAGAAGGCTCCATGTCCAAAGCTATAGCACTTATTCCCCATTTATGAGACTATAAAACAATTCCTGCATAAAAACCAGTAGAATTTAGACTACATCAAGAATAAACAAGCTGGAGCCCTGGCCAGGTAGCTCACTTGTTTGGAGCTTCATTCCGTACACCAAAATGTTTCAGGTTCAATTCCCAGTCAGGGACCATACCTAGGTTTCAGGTTCAATACCTATATGCAGGTGCAGGTTCAGGGCGCCTGCAGAGGCAACCAGTTGATGTTTCTCTCTCATATCAATGTTCCTCTTTCTCTTCCTCTTAAAAAAAATCAATAAACACGTCCTCAGGTGAGGATTAAAAAGTGTAAACAGGCTGGAGGTGAACTTATTACAGAAACTATTCTCACAGCTTTTCCACTGACAAGAAAATGAGAGATGAGAAAAATAAGATTTCAGAGATGCTTTACAGAAATGGTGTTAATGATGCCATGATATCAAATCATAGTTTATGTGTGTCCACTATGTATGCCCTATACTTAGTGTTCTCTGGATTTTTGTTAGTTTTTTTCATTAAATTTATTCTGGTGACAGCATCAGCTTCGGGCGTACATCTTTATAATACGACATCAGTATACTCTGTTGTGTGCCCACCGCCTGAATTCTAATCTCCTTCTGTCACCATGTATTTGGTCCCCTTTACCCTCCTCATCCTTCCCTTACCCGCCTCCAGTTTTGTGGGTTTGAAACACCAGAACTTGGACCTCTGGTGGGGGCTTTCGGAGTCTGCACTGCAGAGGGCCCAAATGAAAGACTGAATTTGGAGGGAGCTGAAATGGGAGGGAAACAAATATTCCTCCAAAGAGGACAAATATGCTGGTTTAAATTTTATTTTTAAATTTTTAGTATATTTTATTAATTATGCCATTACAGTTATTCTATTTCCCCCCTCACTCCCCTCCACCCTGCACACCTCTCCCCCACCACTCCCCCCTTTAGTTTATGACCACGTGTCTCAAGTTCTTTAGATTATATATTTCCCACACTATTCTTGCCCTCCCCCCTATCTATTTTCTATCTACTGTCTATGCTACTTATTTTCTGTACCTTCTCCCCCCTTCTCCTCCTCCCACTCCCCTATTGCTAACCCTCCTTGAGATCTTCATTTCTATGGTTCTGCTCCTGATCTAGCTGTCCTCTTAGTTTTCTTTTGTTTTAGGTTTTAAAATGAAATCTTTCCATATCAAGAAGTATCTAAGGAAGACTATGCTCTCTTGCCTGCCTAGTGACCATAAATTACCACTGAGCACTAAGGGTTTCTCTTCTCGGCAGCTCTGTCTGTGGACACTGTTAATACCATCCCCACTTCGCAGGTGGGCTCGGAGGCCAAGGCAGCCCGTGCTCTCACCCAGGGGCCTACACCTGCTCTGACAGCACCATCAGTTGCACAGCTGGGGGGGGAGCAGGTGTTGCAGGTTCAGGTCATCAGCTTCTATAAACTGCTAACTTCATTCATACATTGGTTCAAGAATTAAGAACAGGGGGACAGCAACTAGAAGGGAGAGGGGGGGGAATTTCAGAGGAAAAAGGGGAAGGATTTACAGGAACAAGTATAAAGGACACATGGACGAGAACTAAGGGGGGTGGAAATGGGAGGGAGGTGGGAGCACTGGAGTGGGGTTGGGATGGGGGTAAAAGACAGAAAACTGTACTTGAAAAATCATTTAAAAAAAGAATTATACTGAAACCCCACTTAGTCATTTTCAGTCTGCCTTCCATATGAATAGGTTATGTTTCTTTAATAAGTAGCTTTTATAATTATAATGGTAGAATAAAATTAAGAAATAAACACACTGTTCACTAAAGCAGTTTTTCTCACTGGAAAGGCCAGGTAGCAAAGGAGTTCATGGCTCATAACTTGGGCTGTGAATGACCTGTGATATGCCCACAAAGCCATAGCCAACTTCCAAGGCCTAGAAGTGGTTGGTTTGTTTTTTCTAAAAATATAAAGGAAGTTTTCCCATCGCCTGTGTTTTCTTCTGCTTGAAGACTCCCAACACAGCCGAAATTCAAGCCTGAGGTTTGTACTTTTGGGGGTTCTTACCAAAGACAAGAATTTTTCTGTAGATTTGCAGTAAGAAGAAAGCAACATAAAATAGTTTAGGATACCTCAAAAGTTGATTAATTTCCTGATGATACAGAAGTCTGAATTGATGAGCCCAGCACGACTTTTCCCAGATATATTTGACATGTTTGTTTTTTAGCTGAAACCAGCAATTGCTCAAATTGTCAAGTCACTCAACAGTTGTAAACTGTGATGACACCATGTGGGGATGAGACATGAAAAGAATTTTATTTTGACAATCTTTTAGTAATTCCTTTTTTTGAAAATTGAAATGTTATTTAAAAATCTTTACTTTTTAGGAAACTGGAAGAAGCTTATAACTTAAACCATGAATGTCAACTTCCATAGAAGTGATGAGTCACCTATAAAGCATTTTCTTAGGGACACATTAATTAGTGGTCTCCAGTTACCTTAAACCTGGGCAGTTAAAAATAATGGAAAAATTTGGTTAGTTTCTAATTTTTCTTCACAAAATATTATACATGCTGGAATTTACAGATTTCCTCAAAACACACCAAATCTGCCAACATTCAGTCCAAAACTAAGAGGGAAGAGAGAAATGGTATCAATGCCATGAATACTTTTCCAGGGGTAAGCCAAACCCCTTTTCCTCATTTTATCTTCCCTCTTCTCCAGAAAGGTTTTGTTTTTTGTACTAAGCATGGTTTCTGGAAAATGTGGTCACTATATTTAGAGGAGTAAAGGGTATTAGATAAAGTTCACAGAAGTTAAAAAATTAACATAAGCAAGACTAGGTGGAAACAAGGAAAAAAGTCCAAATCAAGAAGTGTTTTAGAGTTTTACCTTTTCCAAATGAAAAGAATCTGACTGTCATATTTGTAAATATCCATGAGTGGCCACAGAACTGGATTAAGTAGTAGATGAAAAGATAGGCATTCTTCCTATACCTATAAATACAGAAAAATCCATTAAACGCTATAAAAAACATCTTTGAATTAACCTACTGGTCAACCAGAGCAAACAAGAGAAAAGTATTCACTATCAGTCTATTATTTGGATACCTCTCTAATGCCCATCAGATTTTGAAAAAACCATAACATACACCTTCCATTAATGCCTATCCTATATTGCTTAAAGCCAAATGTGGTTCTATATTTCAAAATCCACTGCATCTTTGATAAACTTCTAACCTTGCTGCTCACCAACAGATAAAAGTAAGCATTGCAAAGCCCGCTTTGAATATTTTGGGGAAGGAAAAAAATACATGGGGGAGGGGTTGGTATAGTCAATATGTGTTGTAAGTGCAGAACTTGAGAGAGAGCTAGTTCACAGTCACCAAAGGGGAGCAGTGAAGGTGGCATTCTCCAATGGCGGGCAATTCAGTCATTGGACATACCTGACTTTAGAATGCGTTATGTGATTAGGGTATCTCTCCACTGCCTCCTGTGTGGCAAGGGCAGATGTTTCCTTCATCAGACACACACAGAAGGCAGTTTAGTGGCTCGGGCCAGAAAAAAGGAAGTCAAGCTGGGTTTAAAAAAGAGTTGCTGGAGAGATGACTTAAGAGATGATTGACAGATAAGCCTTTGAGGGACTCCAGCCAAGCACTGTCTGAAGTGCTCCCGGGGGTTCAGAAGGGTAGTGGGAGTGGCCCTGCCAGTGTAGACAAGATTTTCTCCTAGTTGGGGATGTGAAACCTCTGAACAGTAAGGCTGGAAAGGAAGCACAGTGTAGCTTTATGATTTTACTCAGGCACCCTAAAATGCCACAAGCTACTGACGGGGTAGGGAAGCGGAATACCTCCCTTAAACCAGCATTAGAATCACTTGGAGTCTCGGTTAAACATACAGTTCCCAAGCCTTACCACTGAATGAGTTTTTCTGGAACTGGGCCCTCGAATATACACATACAACAGGTTTTTCGGTCTCGGGTAGATCTAAAATTCACCCTGCTACGCCAAGTCTGAGAAAGTCAAGGGAACGGCACCGGTGGAGGGGAGGGAAGGGAAGAAGGACTGGTAAAGAGCGCACAAAATGAAGGGGTGGCCGCCCGGCCTGTCCTTCCTATTTCCTCATCAGTAAAATGAGGGAAATAACAGAGTTCAATAACCAGAGTTATCGAAAGAATTAAACTAGCTAATACCTGGTCAAGCGCTCGAGGATGTGTGGGGCACAGGGTTGCATTGCTACGCGCTCGCCAGTGCCCGCCCAGACGCCGATGGGGTGGGGGGACCTGGCCCCGGCGGCCCCTCCTCCCGCACCCTCTCCGCTCCGGCCTCGGCCGAGCGCCCTACCTGGGCTGCAGCCAGGCGGGCAGCGCCATGGGCCCCGTGGGCCGCCACCGCCAGGGCCTTCAGCGCCGTCCAGAGAAGGAGCACCGCGGGGGAACCTCGGGAGGGGCAGCCCCGCGGCCGGGTGCGGAAGGGCGGGGCCTCTCTACATTCAGCAATTTACCAAAAAAAAAAAAAAGCCCAAGGTTGTGCAACGGACACGCGAAGCAAACCAAGTTCCTCAAGTTCCTGCAGCGGCGGCAACGCGCTGAACCACAAATGACCCACCTCCTCCTGATCCAGGCTACCCCAGCCTGGCAGCGCCGGAACGTGCCCACTTACCCCCACCCCCGGCGTTACCTGCAGGTCCACGCAGCTTTTTACAGGGGGTCCGAGTCTCAGGGTTGAGACTCCGTTGCAGCTTCGTGGAAATTAACAGGCCCTCCCACCTGGGCTTCAAAAGCAGGCAATCAAGCCATTCCAAAGGCTCTCCGGGGGGTGTGGCCCAGGTGCGCGCCTGTCTCACCTGTGAGGGGTTCAGCCGGGAAGTTTGTGGCCACACCTTCCCTAACACCTTCCTTTCAGCTAATGGGCCTGATTCCCCCAGGATCAGGCGTCCGTGGCCTCTCGTTTCCCCTGGCTTCTCACTGATGCTCGCGCATCCTTTTACGTTTCTTGCACATTCACCTCCTTATCCTAGCCCACCACCCTGAAAACCTTCTCCTGTTCGATCAGCCTTTCTAAATTTTTTTAAGATTTAAAAATTAAAATTAAAATAAAGAACAAATATCCAAGAAAGTGGGACAATACCACCTGATTTGGGGAGTTGGAAGGTAGTACCCCATTTTACCTAAAGGAAAGTTGAGGCTTTGAAAAAAAAATGATAAGTGGCAGGATTAGAAGTTCAAGGTCGTTTGGTTGTGGGTTTTTTCCCCATTAGACCGTAGACCACTTTCTCGTAGTTCGTTCTGACCTCTCACCTCTACAATTGTCTGTACTTCCACCCACCCCACCCTCAGTCAGACGTGCACCCCTCCCCTGCATTTGCCAGTTCTCTCTCCAAGTGGCCCCACCAGCTCTTACCCACACTCACTGCCCATTCCTCCATCTGCATCCTCTCTCCTTTTCTCCTTTTCACTGGCTCTCACCACAGCTTAGCAGCACACTCAATCTCCTGCCCTAGAATTAAACATTATATGCTTACTTCTCCTCTCTTGATATAATTTTCTCTCTGCTTTTTCTCATAACTCCCTGGCCACCCTTCCATTTGTTGCTCTCTCCCTGTTCACGACACCTTATAGTCTGACTTTCCTTCCCAACACTCCTGAAACTCCTCTCAGGGAACTGCCTTTGTTTCTACCCTGAGTCTCCATCCATCCTGTACTCAATGTGTAGATGACCCCTCACAGTCCTTGCTTTGGGGGGAGCATTTAATCTAAAGGGGAAACTGACACCCAGGCAAGCACTGGTGGCTGACCTGTCCTCAATGTCATCTGGGCTCAGACCAATTAGAGAAGAAAGTCCTGGATGTGGGGCAAGGGGGAGGGCAGACAGTGTGCCTAGAGGGAGTGGCTCCTTATCATTAAGCACAGACCCTGCAGCTACATCCTCAGTCTCCTCCCCTTTCCCCTACAACTCTGCATATTCTACTGCTCCAGCTTTGCCCTCTCTTTCTCTCTCTCTCCCTCCCCCCTCAGATTTTCCTCTATAGATATGTCCCCTTCTCCTGTCGTATTCCCTCAAAGGTCTGCCCTGGGCAATCTTTTTCATTTGCCACCATCTGCACAAACAACTACCATCCATAACTTTATGTCCACACATGGAGACATCGGCTTATTACATCTCCAGCCACTAATTTTTAATGAACACCAGCTCTGCCTTTCAACAGCTTCTGGATATTTCCGCATGAAAATCTGATTCCAACCTCCAGTTGAACCTATTTTAAAATAAGCATATTGTCTTTATTCCAAAATCATTGTCTTATTTCCCAGAGGGAGCAACCATTTTCTTAGTCATTCAACTTTAAAATCTGGGAGTCATCATTAAGTTTCCCCCTTCAATCAAATTCTATTGCTTCCATCCTTTCGAGATCCCCTACTGATCACTAGTGTTCCATTTCCATCCCCTACTGTCCAGAACCTGGGCAAAAAACAGACACCAAAAAAATCTTCCTCTTTTGCCCTGGCCAAGTAGCTCAGTTGCTTAGAGCGTCATTCCCCATATGCCAAGGTTGTGGGTTCAAACCCTGGTCAGTGCAGACACAAGAATCAACCAATGAATATGTAAATAAGTGAAACAACAACAAAAAATGATGTTTCTCTCTCTGTCTCTTTGTCTCTCTAAAAAAATCAATTAATAAAAAAAGATCATTTTTACTGGCTAGATAAAGAACAAACTATAAACAAAAAAATCTTACAAATCAAGCAATTAGGGAAATCTAGCTTGTTTTTCAAGAAAGAAGTACAGGAAAGAGTTATGAGAGGACATTTTTGACGGGAGGTGAAACTGTCCCTTTCCTTTGGCAGGGCCCCAGGGCAGGTCCTCTACAGGTGCTGCCACCAGGACCTAGACAGCCTCCGCCAGCCTCCCTGCCTCCATTCTCTCCTCCTACCCAGATGACCACAGGCTGTCCTGACCCAGCCATCCACTGGTCAAGGTCCTGTGCTGGTTCCCTGTTGCCTGCTACAGTGACACCTCATCTTGCCCTCAAGCTCGTGACATGCTGGCATCTTGTACCACTCTACCCACCAGTGACAGCAACTTGCCACTCCATGACCACACAGGCATCTCTGGCCATCATGCCTCTACAAAACTCTCCCCTGCTACCTTGAGTTTCTTTTCTGCCTCCTTCCCGTCTCACGGCCCAGTATTTTCTGGTCAAATTTCTATCATTTAAAAAAGCCCTTCCCAGCCTTTCCTCTGGAAGCTATGCTGGGCTAATGCATAATCTATGATGGCATTTACCTTAAGGTGTTTTCATTAAGGTTCCTGCTTCCTCAACCAGATTCTAGATTCCCAAAGGGCTCTCCCTATTGCTAACAGTAAGAATTTGACAAGTTTTAACTTCTTTAACCAAAGTTTCTTTTGTCAAAACTATGCAATTGTTGGAATGAGTAAGTACAAAAACGTACAGGTGAAAACACGTAAAGACACCCAGTAGAATGCCTGGCATGGACAGGTGTCCATAATTGTACTGAGTGAATAGACGAAACCTGGTGTGAGTTTTTCTCTCCCATAATTTTAACCAAAACCGAACAAAACTTTCGGTGATGGTCACATTACTGTTATATATATAGTAAATGTTCAATTATCTCCTTGTACAGAAGAAATCAGAGGCAACAGCTCAAATAACTAAAAATTAATAAAATCTTGTCTTTAAAAGGAACTTTAATATTATTTGAACACGTGAGTCTTATTTTCCTTGAGCAAATGTTTAAATTTGTTTTTATGCCTCTGAACACCAGCTGGGAGACTAAAGCCTTAAAACATTTTATGGTAGTAACAGAATGGCTGAAGACTTAGAAAAATATTTATACAAAAAGTGATAAAGTATGTATTTCACAATGATCTTCAGAGAAATTAAATCCAATGGTTGAATACTCCAACTGTGGGTGCTTGTGCATCTACCCCGCCAGTGTCCCGTTCTTGTATTGCTTTCCCTCCCCTCCTTTCGCCATCTTATTTTTGAACTTCAATACTTCATGTGATATTCACTGAGAGCGAAGACCCTGGGAATGGGAAAGTGCCCCGTTTCCCACTTTTTCTTTCATTAGCCACAAATGGCTCTATAAGGAACCAGTTATTCTCTGATAACTTTCAATTCTAGATTTACTTTTTTATTTCAACTACCTGGCATTTTCAGGGATCACAAACTCTCCTTCTCCTCACTCCCCCCCCCCCAGCACAAATTGGAAATGTCATCGGCTGCTATGCCCATACAGAACCCAAGAGAGGATGTGGTTCAGTGTCCTTACTTCACGGGCACCAAAAAGCTGGTTAAAAGTGGCTGGAGATCTCTTTCCACAGGACTGTGCAAAATTTCATTTGTATTTTCTCCACTGTCTTGCCTGGCTCAGGAATTAGTCATAAATAGTCACTCAGGGTAATCTTTGACTAGGCATAGTCTTGGCCTCTATTATCATTCTTTTCTAGCCGATCCAAAGCATTGCTTCTACTTCCCCATTTACTATTCCATTCAGAAGATCACACCCTGGACTTGAACACCTGTCTTGTTGCATCAACATTGCCCAATCTGACCTCTATGCTATTCCAAGGCAATTGTGTCCAAGTGTGTAATTCATTCATTCAACAAAGCAAGAGTCATTTTTAAATCTGTTCTCTATGCCATGGCCACTCTCCTTTTGCAGTTTATATGATTACAGTACTGACTATTAGCTGTATGTGCTTCCCAGTGCTTCCCATCTGTAATCTCACTTAACCCTCAGAGCAACCCCATGATGTGCTTACCTGATTTATAGATGAGGAAGAATGGTCAGGGCAGTCGGCTATCTTGACCAAGATCCACTCAGCTAGTGCATGATGAAACTGAGATTAGAACTTCCAGCTGACTTCAGATTTTGAATTCTTAATCACTATGTTATAACTTGTTTCATATGATCAGTATTTGAAAGTTCTGGTTTTCTTTCTATCACATGTAATAGAGTCAAAATGTAACACTGTACATAAAACCGAAAGCTACAAACATTCTAGAAGAAAACACAGGAGAAAAATCTTTGAGGATTTGGGTTAGGCAGAGATTTCTTTGACATGACCCTAGATATTTCACAGACACTTCCTAGATGTGTATCAAAACAAGTATTTCTTAGATACATCTGATCTAAAAAGACACTTTTAAGAGAATAAAACCAACAAGGTATAGATGAGGAGAACATATTTATGAAGCATGTAACAAACAAAGAACTTATATGCAAATAAATAACTCTCAAAACTCAATAATAGAACAAAACCTAATTAAAAAACAGTCAAATAATTTGAAGACAAACTTAAGGAAAA